TGGAGCTCATAGGGTTCACAAGGCTCACCGGTCTCATAGGGCTCGTAAGGCCATCATTGCTTCGTAGCGCTCGTAGGGCCCATGGGGCTCGCAGTGGTCATTGAAATACTTATTTGATTATTTACACGTTCGCTTGCGTGCTCATTGAACTAACCATTTTGATTAGCATTCAATTTTTCATCCACCTACCTCTCCACCGTCATCGTTCCGCGCCTCCTCCACACAGTGCCAATGGTTAAATGAGCAATGGAACCACGCAAATAATCAAATAAATAATCAAATGATGATTCAATTGCTTACATGTTCGCCTGCGTGTTCATTGAAATAACAATTTTGCTTAGCATTGAACCTGCATCGTTCCGCGCCTCCTCCACACAACGCCAATGGTTAAATGAGCAAGGGAACCACGCAATTAATCAAATACATACTTAAATAATCATTTCATTATTTACATGTTCGCTTGCGTGCTCATTGAAATAATCATTTCAATTATCATTCAATCCGTATCGCTCCGCGCCTCCTCCACACAGTGCCAATGGTTAAATGAGCAAGAAAACCACGCAAATAATTAAATACATATTTGCATAATCATTTACTTATTTACATGTTCGCTTACGTGCTCATTGAAATAACCACTTTGCATTTCATTCAATCAGTCATCGTTCCGCGCCTCCTCCACGCAGTGTCAATGGTTAAATGAGCAAGGGAACCACGCAAATCATTAATCAAATAAATAGTTAAATTATTATTTGATTATTTACTTATTTACATGTTCGCTTACGTGCTCATTGAAATAACCATTTTGAATATCATTCAATCAGTCATCGTTCCGCGCCTCCTCCACACAACGCCAATGGTTAAATGAGCAGGGGAACCACGCGAATCATTAAGTAAATAATGAAATACTTATTTTTGTGATTTGCATGTTCGCTTGCGTGCTCATTGAAATAACCCGTTTGATTAGCATTCAATCCGCCTTCGTTCCGCGCTTCCCCCACGCAGTGCCAATGATTAAATGAGCAAGGGAACTACGCACATAATTAAACACATTTACTTTTTTATTTATATGTTTGCTTGCGTTAATCATTTAAAACATAATATTAGAATTAATGCGCTTAGCCATTCTCTGTAAAACCCCGAGCAGCGGCCTGCAAATACAATGCAAGAGCATAGTTTCCTGCTTACAAAACAATAGAGAATGAAAGTGCCAAACGATTGTCTATTAGAATTCGGAGCCCGGCCAGAAAATTCAAAGAAAACGGCCATAGTTTCCTGCTTACAGAACAGTAGAGAATGCTTATGCCAATCGATTGTCCGTCAGAATTCGGACCCCAGCCTGAAAATCCAAAAAAGGCCATAGTTTCCTGCTTACTGCCCAACGACTGTCTGTCAGACTTCGGAACCCGGCCTGGAAATTCAAAAGAAACCATAGTTTCCTACTTGCAAAACGGTGGAGGATGGATGTGCCAAACGATTGTCTGTCAGACTTCGGGCATCGGCCTTTAAAAACAATATGTGTTTTAAAAAGCACAGCTTCCTGCTTACAAAACAACAGAGAATGAATATACCAAAATATTCTCTCAGATTTCGGACCCCGGCCTGAAAATTCAAAAACCTATAGTTTCTTGCCTGCAAACAATAGAGAATGACGCCCAACCATTCTCTGACAGACCTGGACCTCGTCGGCGCATTTTTTAAGGCCATCGTTTCCTGCTTCCAAAACAGTAGAAACTGAAACACCCTAAGAGAGAAAGAAAGAGAAAAGGCGAACGGAGAGAGAGAGAGAGAGAGAGAGAGAGAGAGCGAGGAATAGAAAAGAGAAAGAGAAGGACAAAACGAAGTCCAAATGAGAGAACCGAACGACATCAACTAAGTGCTCTACCAGTGGCACCCCAACAAACAAAAACAAAACGCTCGAACCGCCCGGACCTTTATAAGGGCTGGCGCCGGGAGGTGGGGAGGATGGAGGAGAGGAGGGGGTGGAAGGGAGGGGGAGAGGGCGGAGGGGGGAGGCGGGGGGGGGAAGGTGGGGAGGGAAGGGAGAAGGGAGGAGGGGAAGGAAAGGAGGAGGGAAAAGCTCCGCCGCGGACCACCTCGCGTCTCCCCTGACATCCAGTGTCGCATCCTCCTTCCTCCTTTTCCTCCTCGTCCTCCTCCTCCTCCTCCTCCTCCTCCTCCTCCTCCTCATCATCATCATCATCATCATCATCATCATCATCATCCTCATCCTCCTCGTCACCACCCTCCTCCTGCCTCGTCTTTGTTTCTCGCTCCCTGTCCTCCTCGTTTTCCGTGTCCTCGTCTTTTTCCTCTTCCATATCTTTCTCCTCATCCTCTTCCTGCTCCTCATCTGAGTCCTCCTCCTCGCCCCATAACGCTCCTCCTCCTCCTCCTGCTCCTCATCTTCCTCCTCCTCCTCCTGCTCATCATCTTCCTCCTCCGCCTCCGCCGTCGCCTCCTCCTCTATCCTCCTCGCTTCTCCTGTTCCTCCTTCTCCTCGAGCCGACGCGGACGCAGGCTCGAGGGGGGGAATCGCGATCGCCGTTAAGCGGCTCTGCAATAATTCACAGCCCCTAGAGGATCTGGCCGGGCCCTGGGGCTGTGGAAAAAACGGCCCAAGGCAAAACGCATGCACTGGCTAAGGTATCAGCTATATCCTCCTGCTTTTCCTCCTCCTCCTCCTGCTTTTCCTCCTCCGTCTCATCATCATCACCATTGCCATCTTCCTCATCATCACCATCATCATCACCACCGTCATCAAGGAGGCGAAACGAAGGGGGCAAGCGAAAGGGGGCAAACAAGAGAGCCGTGGCCCACGACAGGCGCGAGGCTCACCCTACGCGACTGTGTGCTACGTCCGACTACACAACGCCACGCGAGAGCACATAAAACGCGTGAGCTGTGCCGCCACCGACCGAGCTGACAACGAGATCGCGACGCGCTCGCCGGGCCAACCTCAACGAAAAATGCGCAGCATTTTCTCTTGTTGACGCCGCTGAAAAAGAACATCGCTGGATGCGCGCCACTCGCGGCCTCGCTCGGCGACGCTGCCGTCAGGCGCACGCAAACAGGCCACGCGCGCAGGACAAGGCGAAGGGGGCAAACGAAACAGGCCACGCGCGCGGGACAAGGCGAAGGGGGCAAACGAAGGAGGCGAAACGAAGGGGGCGAGCGAAAGGGGGCAAACAAGAGAGCCGTGGCCCGCGACAGGCGCGAGGCTCACCGAGCGCGAATGCGTACCACGCCCTACTACACAACACCACGCGAGAACACCTAGAACGCGTGACCTCTGCCGCTGCCGACCGCGCTGACAACGAGATCGCGACGCGCTCGCCAGGCCAACCTCGACGAAAAATCACGGCATTTCCCCCTGCTGACACCGCTGAAGAAAAAACGTTCGCTGGATGCGCGCCACTCGCGGCCTCGCTCGGCGACGCTGCCGTCAGGCGCGTGCAATGTGGCCGCGCGCGCAGGACAAAGGCGAAGGGGGCAAACCATGGGGGCAAAACGAAGGGGGCGAGCGAAGGGGGCAAACAAGAGAGCCGTGGCCCACGACAGGCGCGAGGCTCACCCTGCGCGAATGCGTACCACGTCCGACTACACAACACCACGAGAGAACACATAGAACGCGTGACCTCTGCCGCCATCGACCGCGCTGACAACGAGATCGCGACGCGCTAGCTGGGCCAACCTCAACGGAAAACGCACAGCATTTCCCCTTGTTGACGCCGCTGAAGAAAAAACGTTCGCTGGATGCGCACCACTCGCGGCCTCGCTCGGCGACGCTGCCGTCAGGCGCGCGCAATGTGGCCACGCGCGCAGGACAAAGGCGAAGGGGGCAAACCATGGGGGCAAAACGAAGGGGGCGAGCGAAGGGGGCAAACAAGAGAGCCGTGGCCCACGGCGCGAGGCGCAGGCCCCCAGCCAGGCCACAGTGTGCTATCACTTGGTCGAGCCACAGTAGACGAGCAAGGCGCCTGCGGATCTGGCCCACGGGTGCGCGCCAGGTTGAAGCAGCCCTTGGACCAGCGCGTGCGAGAAGGGCGGACAGTGGACGTCCACGGTGTCACTGATGAGCTGATGAGTGAGGTGCAGGAGTCCTCCCTCCCTTGTCCCCCCTCCCTCCCTTCCTCCGTCCTCCACCTCCGCTCTCCCTTGCCTCTTTCTCCTCTTCCAGAGCGGCGAGGCACACTCCACCACGGCGAAAAAGAGTCAGCTCGTGACACCGGGATTGATGTAGATCCCTTGTTCTTTAGGGGGGCACGGATCCCCTCGTCCTGCCCGAATGGGCGCGTGGCTCTACCCTCAGTGAGGCCGGACGGACACTCGCTCTCGCTCGCACCCGTCTCCTCCGTCCTCCGCCCGCAGTAGGGCCGGACGGACACCCGCTCGCTCGCTCGCACCCGTCTCCTCCGTCCTCCCTCCTCCTCCTCCTCCTCCTCCTCCTCCTCCTCCTCCTCCTCCTCCTCCTCCTCCTCCCTCCTCCTCCTCCCTAGCGGCGGCAAGGTCAGCGCAGCTTCGCTCGAACGTGCATGAGCATGGGATGCCGTACCCGGGAGGGTAAGCGTCAGCAGTCGGCGCTGGGACGTCCGTGGCCAGCAGCCAGCCTGCTCCGGCATGCTGCCGTTCAATCCCGCTGGATCCCCATTGCACCCTGGGCTTCATCCAGCTCGAACCCTGGGCTCATCAAGCGACGCGAAGATCGGGACAACATCGGATCGGGATAGCTCGAGATCTCTGAGGATCGGCGGGTTTGGAGGATGTATTGGGCGCCGCGGCCGCTCCAGAGCGTTCTGGAACGCTCTGTGAGCGCTGCGGAACGCTCTGGAGCGATTTATCCCGATCCTAGCCTTGTTTTACACTCTGGGATGGTCCGGCAAATCGCGCCGCAGCCCAGGCTGGATAGATCTGAGTCGTTCACGAAGACCTCCGAGGAGTGGAGCTGCTTCCTGCATGAAACAAGTTGCTCTTCCTCTCTCGCACTGCACCCCTGCCTTAAGGCACGGCGGAGGAGCTGAGCAGGTGCAACGTGGACGGGCACACCCCCGCGCACTATTGCGTCCAGTACGGCACGCCGTGGTGCCTGCAGTGGCTCCACGAGAGGCTCGCCCCTCCCTTCTGAAGCGCAGGGAGGAGGAGGGCGGACTGATGATGATGATGATGATGATGAGGAGGAGGAGGAGGAGGAGGAGGAGGAGGAGAAGCAGGAGGAGGAGGAGAGGGAGGAGGACGGGGGAGGAAGAGGAGGAAGAGAAGGAGGAGGAGGAAGAGGAGGATGAACATGAGCAGCAGCACATTGGGGAAACCAGGAGAAGGAGCGCGATGAGGAGGGAGGAGAAGGAGACAGAACGAGGAGGAAGAAGTGGAGCAGGAGGAAGAAGAAGAAGATGAGGAGGAGGAGGAGGCGGAGGTGGGATGAGGAGGATGAGGGTGCGGATGAGGAGGATGAATAGGATGAGGAGGAATGTGATGACAAGGAGGGGGACGAGACGAGGATGAGGAGGAGGAGGAGGAGGACCAGGACGACGACGATGAGGTGGGCGAACCGGAAAAGGATGTGGGCAGGGACCTGGACAAGAAGATGGAGGAGAGGGAAGGAATACGGGGATGAGGAAGTGGGGAGAGGCGGGGTGCGGGAGGGAGTGAGGAGGGAGGAAGGGAGGAGGGGGAGGAGGAAGAGGAGAAGGAGGAGGAGGAGGAGGAGGAGGAGCGAGGAGGAGAAGAACGAACGAAGAGGAGGAGGTGGGGAAGGAGGAGGGCGAGAAGGAATTATGAGGACGAGGCGCAGGAACAGGAGGATGAGGAGGAGGAGGAGGAGGCGGAGGAGCAGGAGTTAATGACGATGTTGAAAAGACGCGAATGCGAATGCGGCCGAACAGGAAGACGGGTAGACCGGGGAGACTAACAGTCGCAGGGGAAGGGTGACGAGGATACTGATTAGGGTGAAAGGCTGGAGGAAGAGAAAGAGATCGAGAGGGCGAGAAAGAGAGAGAGAGAGAGAGAGAACAAGCGAGAGAGAGAGAGAGTGAGGGAGAGAGAGAGAGAGAGAGAGAGACAAGGGGGGATAACGAGAAATATAGATACAGAGATAACGAGACATCAACATACCTATACGACCACCCTGCGGGGGATAAGGAGGTTGGGGGGAGGGGCCCAGCAATGGGCAACAATGGAGATGGTTGCGTTGCCGCTCGCTCTTGGGAGCCACGGTGTCGAGTTTTTTACGTCACCCTTCGCTCTTCTGCGCCTTGGTACCATCCCCCCCCTGGGAACTGTGCCCACTGCTGGCGAACGACGAGGACGTTTTTTTTTGTTTGAGGCCTCCTGAGGCCCCTGTCGTCGCCACGGCTTTGATCGCCTCGAAACATTGCTCAACGGCCCCTCGGCCGTCGAGGACGACGCACCGCCATCGTAAGTTTTTGTTCTGCGTTCTCGTAGCGAAGCCCCTCGTAGCGAAGCCGAAGGACGTGCGTGACCGACGTGGGCGCGTTCGCGGCCCCCCCGCGTGCCGAGTGCAACTGAAGCCTTGAGCCGAAATCCTTGAATGGTAAGAGAGTTGACGGGGGGGGCGGACCCAACGTCCCACTCAATGGATCTCACAATGGACCCCTCTATCGATTTCACATTCGATCTACCCCGATCGATCATGCGATCGATCTCACTCGATCGATCGCACTGTCGATCTCACTATCGATCCCACTCGATCGATCTCACAATCGATCTCTCTATCGCTCTCACAGGCGATGCCGTTATCGTCGATCTCACGATCGATCTCACTATCGATATCACGATCAATCTCAGTACAGATCGCACTATCGGTCTCTCACGACCGATCCCATTCTATCGATGTCACAGTCGATCTCACTATCGATCCCACGATCGATCTCACGATCGATCTCACAATCTCACCATCATCATCATCATCATCATCATCATCATCATCATCATCATCATTATTATTATCATCATCATCATCATCATCATCATCATCTCATCATCTCATCATCAGCAACCGCATCATGATCATCAACATTATCATCATCATCGGGGCACCGTCGTCATCATCATCATCATCTTCATCATCATGATCATCAGCAACATCCTCATAATCAACATCATCAGCATCAACATCACCACCATCATCTGGACACCATCATCATCACCACCATCACCATCATCATCATCATCATCATCATCATCATCATCATCAACATCATCATCATCATCATCATCATCATCATCATCATCATCATCATCATCATCGGGACACCGACGGGACACCGGCGGGACACCAGCGGGACACCGCGCGCCACAGGGCCCCGGTCAGGAATCATTTCCCCAGTCAGGAATCATTTGGTCCAGCCGCGCCCTCAGCCGGAGGCGGGACACTGGCGGGACACCGCGCGCCACCGGCCCCAGGTCAGGAATCATTTGGTCCGGCCGCGCCTCAGCCGGAGGAGACTTTCTTCTCGCCCGACCACGCAGCTTCGCCTCGCCCGCACGCGCGGCACGCACGAACACGAAACCGAAACCGATTTCCTGGTACGGGGGCTCTCCGTTCCACTTCGATCTCACCCCCAAACCTCCGATCTATATCTAGATATGTACATGTATGTACATCTTTATGTTAAACGGACTGTTCATGGAGAGAATGAGAGATAGGCAGAGAGAGAGAGAGTGTCATATATATATATATATATATATACATATATATATATAATCTAGATATATAGAGAGAGAGGCAGAGAGCGATATCTATATGTACACATACATTGAGCAGTGAGAAGGAGACACGCACATCTCCCTGTCTCTCTCTATATATATATACACAAATGTCTAAAAACACATACGCACACGTAGAGAGGACCTGGCTTCGTACGGCAGGGGCACTTGATGAGGAATTTCTTCGCCCAGGGATTTCGTGTTATAAGATCGAGGTCGGTTCGGGGAGGATGCCCTATTGCTCTTCGTGTTTGTTAGATGTCCTTGTGCATCATGGGGGAAGGCATCCTCCAATGTTCTTCTGTTTGGGCCGGCGGAGGGTCTCATGTTCTTGAAGGATGCTCTTCGGTCCTAGGTCCAGCGGTATCCCTCGTTTCCGCCTTTTTGGGGGCCTGGGAGGCCCGCGCCGCCACCGCTGGATTCGCCCCGGAATTCTGGCCAGAGCGCATCCCAGGAGAGGTCCCGGGAGCAGCGGCAGGAGTACCTCTGCGTCTCCCCGCTCCCTGCCCTCCTTCCCAGACATCCGACGTCTCGATTTGTTCGAGACACGGCCCCCCGACCTCCCGACCATTTCCCCAGGGCCCGTTTTTCATCCAGAGTTCTTTTTTGACGGTCCCGAGGCCCGGCGAGGGCCCCGAGAGGCCGAAAACGATGACAAACTCCGTCTCGATTTTTTCGAGACGCCCGATGCCTGGGTTCGCCTGGGGTGCGCACGGGCGCGAGAACCCGCGTGGCGCTCGAGACCAAACCACGCTGCCCAGCCTCCCCCGCCTGGAGGTTTTCTCCGAAAGGCTTAGGCGACCCCTCTTCCTCCTCCTCCTCCTCCTCCTCCTCCTCCTCTTCCTCCTCCTCCTCCTCCTCCTCCCTCTTCTCCCCGTCCTGGGGTCGCCTACGGCCCCGGGGGCAACCGTGCACCTCCGCCCCCCCGCCGCCCAGAAGGGCAGGCCGTCTCCCCAGTCGACGGCGCGCAGGGCGCAGGGCCTGCCGGCCGCCTCGTCGTGTGCCCCTGGTGCAGGAGCCTCCGCGGCCGTCCTGTCGCGGCTCCAGGGCGCCGTGCGTGGAGGGGAGGCACGTTACCAAGTGGTGGAGAGGAGACTTGTGGACAACGATCAATGGAGAGGGGGCATGTTGCCAAATACTTTCCAGATGCCTAGAACATGTCTTATGAACGTGTCTGGGGCATGTAGCACACATGTTTCAAACATCTGTAGAGGATGTGTCCGAAAGTATAAACGCATGTTACTTCAATGATCGGATTGCTAGGCTGTCCATTGTCACGGCATCCACAACCTTGGACGTCGATGGGGCTCGCGCCCTTCCTCCCCCCAGCTCCTGCTTGTCCTCCTCCTCCGCGGCTGGTGCCGCGAGCTGTGGGGCCCCGGGCTCGCCCCGAACCGTGCCTGGGCGCTTCCGTGGGCCGTCTCCGGTTCGGCTCTCGTCTCGCAGCAGAGGTGGCTGGAAGACAGAACGAGGGACAAAATCGAGCGCAACACGACAACGAAGCAGCCCTGTTGTGCTCGAGCCCCGGTGGGGCCCCGTGCCCCCCCCAGTCTCTTGGCACCGCTCGGGCGTGTGCATTTTTTTCCTTCGGCGAGGACCCTCGAGGAGCATCCTGCCCAGACCCCCGGCGTCGTGATTTTTTCACGACGTCGCCCCCCAGAGGTCTGGACCACTTCCCAGGGACCGGTTTTTCGTCCTGCATCGTTTTTTGACGGTCCCGAGGCCCGGGAAGGGCCCCCAGAGGCCAAAAATAGCGAAAAACCTCCCGTTGTGAATTTTTCATAACTCGAGGGGGTCTGGGTGGATCATGTCGCGACAAAGCCACGCACGACACCGAGCAAAAGCACAGGACATGGACCTCCGAGCGATGCCCCCCTCAGTGGGGCCGCGGGCCCCCCCCAGTCTTGGCACCGCTCGGGCGTGTGTATTTTTTTCCTTCGGCGAGGACCATCGAGGAGCATCCTTGATCATTTCGAGGCGGAGGAGGAGGAGGAGGAGGCGGAGGCGGAGGCGGAGGCGGAGGCGGAGGCGGAGGCGGAGGCGGAGGCGGAGGAGAGGCGGAGGCGGAGGCGGAGGAGGAGGAGGAGGGAGAGGAGGAGGAGGAGGAGGAGGAGGAGGAGGAGGAGGTTGAGGTTGAGGGCGCTCCGAGGACGCGCGCGTCAGGGCGCACGCGGCTCGGTTGCGGCTCCGACGCCGCGGGGGCCGCGGCCGAGGTGGCGGGAGGCCAGCGGCCTCAGGGCAGCCCAGCAGCCTGCTCCGCCTCGGGCCCGCTGGCCACGTCCTCGGCCCGCAGCCGCTTGGCCCGAGGAGTGCTCTCGACTCGGGCCTCGATCACGTCCAGGTCGGGGCTGGGGCGCTTGCCGCTGGCCGCCTCGAGCAGC